TAACCAGACAGAAAGGACTGCGATCTGGACTGCAGCAAGTGAGTCAAGGCACCCCAAACAGACTCCCCCCATTTCCATTTCACTATACAGATGCCAGCGCTCCCTCCACCTTTCTTCCCCTGCTTACTCCTGTGGAATCTGCTCCCCCCAGCCCACTTGGGCTGGGATAAAATCCTCCTTCTCTGACTTGCAGGCACCAGTTGCCTAGTTGGGAGTTAAGGGATACACAGCACAAACAAACTTTCCACTTCCACCTCAACCCAATGCCAACAGATACCCACCCATTCCCCCTCCCCCCCACACCTATCCTATGCAGTCATCTTCCCCCTCGTCCTCGCTTAGGAGGCTTGAGGAGAATGCTGGGTTTCTGCCTCTCTCTCTCTCCTGGTGGAGATAGGTCTCATCTTCTCTCCGACTTCCCCCAGCCATTACTCCCTCCCTCTTCATCTTCCCCAAACTCCCCTATCCTACAAGTCTCCCCACAGCCACTTATTTCCCTCCTTCCATCCTCCCTACCTGATCTCTGAGCTCCTCTGTTTGAAGCAGGAAGCTCAGTTTGAAGATTTTGAGTGAGATGGCCCTTCCCCAAGCCAGTCAGCTGAGCTCCCTGCCTGTGCAGAAGCTCTGAGCCTCTGTGTGGGGCTCATTAAACAGTTGGGCAGCTTAGAGGGAATCTAGGTAGAGAGAAGATCGCCTTTCTTTGTCTGGTGGTAGGCAAAATGGTGGAGCCACAGAATTGCCGGCCACTCCTTTGGTGGTATGGCTGCCCCCAGTGGATACTCTGCAGGATAGCTCTCTTGTGCACTCGCTGCCCCCCAGTGGCCACTCTCATATTGTGTCTCTCCAAACAGCAGCTCTTCCCTTTGCATGTGATGGAAAACAGTCCCTTCCCCAGGATTTAGGTTGTCCTGGCACAGCCAAACCTTGCTTTAAGTTAGGAGAAGAGGAAGCTGCATACCAAATTTGATGGCTGTTTAGGAGGAGGAGCTAAACAAATGAGCACACTAAACTGGGTATGGATATAGATATAGATAATCCAAGAGCAGTGCCAATAAATCTTTATCACCCCTATCTACCATTAACAGTATGGTCATATGGTTTACATAGGAAAAGCAAGGGTGCTTTTTTTTATCCCGCCACTTGCAAAGACATAATACTTAGTTCCTAAAAGTCCAACTTTAGACATCGAGAAGAAAGCAAAATTTATATTAGAAACCTCTAAAATAGCCTTTCTGTAAATCATATTGCAATGTTTCCTACGGGAAACAGATTCAGTGTCTTATTGGAAGGAGAGGGATACATAGCTCCCTGTTGTATCTTTTGCTTATTCTTAGCCTTGGCTCATTAAATTGGGCTTTAAATAGTCATTCTTCTGGGAGTGAATACAGTAAATCATTGGCTTCAAGGGAGGAAAGGAATTTTTGTCATTACTTTTACTTTTAGAAGTGTCAGGTTGAAGGGTGTCCTGAGGGGTTTGGAATGCTGGAAGTAGTCCTGATGAGATGGAGCAGTGTGCAGAGTACAGATAGGGCAGTTAAGGATGTATGAGGTCAATTGAACTGATCTCATGGTTCTTCAGTTTATTAATTGGATAGCATTAATTGTGTGCACAAATGTTCCTGCACATTGTGCTCCCCACTATAATAGCATAGTGAACAATATTATTCTGAAAAGTTTCTACATGGGGTAAAGATGTGTTGAAGAAGCTACTTGGTTGTACTATCTATTTCATCTCCGAGAATTGGACTTCCAGACTTTTGATTCACTTTGGTCCAAATAAATATTTATACAAGTCAACTTCGCATATGTCAGCTATCTCTCTTAAAGAAAAAAACCAAAACTTTTCATACTACATCAGTGTAAGGCAGGGCTGGGCAAAATATGGCCCTGGGGCCAGATCCAGCCCACCAACCCATCGGATACAGCCTGCGGGACCATTCTGCTGGGACCCTCAGACATGCAGCTGCTACGGTTTAAAGCACGGTCCGTACAGCTTTCTGCTCTGCAGTCAGAGGGAGGCTTTGTGTGATTTCCCTGCTCCCAGCTCAATCCTCAGCTCCTATGGGCTGGAAACACCCAGCCAATAGGAGATTGGCTAGAGGATGGGAGCAATGCAAACCTCTTCCCTCTCCCAGAGCCGAGAGCAGTGTGGAGGGAGCAGCCTGCAGTCTCAAGCAGTTTGGGGTTGCAGCAGGCAGGTAATCCAGCCTGCCTTCGGGGGTGCTGCAGGGCTGCTGGCCAGGAAACACTTAGGTAAGCGCCTCCCAGTCAGAGCCTGCCTCTGGCACCCCTGCTCCTGCTACACCTCAACTTCCTCCCCCAGGTCACTATCCAAACCCTCTGCACCCCTGTTCCCTAGATCACAACTTGCTCCCACATCCCGTACTCCCTCTTTCACCCCTCCCCCAGGCCAGAATCCTCTCATGCACCCAAATACTCTTCCAAACCCTGCTCCCCATTCCCCTAAACCAGGTCACAACCTCTTCCTTCCCCAAACTTGCTCGGACCTCATACCATCTCCTGCACCCCAGTTCCTTACCTCGTGCGCCCTTCTGCACACAATCTTCATCCTAGGTCCTGCATCTCCTCCACAGAAACATGCGGCCCTCGACCACTTTCCAAAATCTTGGCATGGCCCCCCACCGAAAATTATTTCCCTCCCTTCCCTCTGGTGTATGGGCTTTCTCTAGGTTAGTACCATTGATAATTGTATCGATATTTTGGGGTGTCATCTGTAGCTTCTTGTAATTTATTAGACTTGCAGTAAATATCAACTGGGATACAACTTTGATGTTAACTGTCAAAACAACGTCTCAGGGGGTAGCCATATTAGTCTGTAACTTTTTGGAAACAAGTAGTCCTGTGGCAACTTGTGATTCTCTTAAGGTATCGCAGGACTACTCATTGTCAGAACAAAGTTAGTGATGCTAACTTCAGGTCATTAAGAGCATAAGTAAAGAGGCTTAATTTTGAAGTAGAAAGATTACTGTTTGATAATACTGCAGCCTAATAAGATATCATCTGCTCCAGGAGAAACCTGAAACTCAATGTTCAAGTAATTTTACTGCAAGAGGGAGAGTTTTAAAGGGTCAAGGGTGGATATAACAACACTAAAAAGTGTCTTAATACTGACCAGTATTTCTGACTCTTTTTCCTTTCAGGCTGCTGAACAAAAAACCAAAGGTAAATTAATACTTATTTTTATTGTGAAATAGTTGATATGTTTGCGTTTTAGAATGCATTTCTGCTTTTATCATAAAATATGTAATCTTACCACTTACACTAGAAATGTTCTTGTATTTTCCACAGACTTGTGGGGGTTGTCTTTGATGTAATGCTTATGGCAGGAATATCTGCTGTTTTACTATTTTTTTTAAACTATATAAAAGATATCTGGCCTATGCTTTAGATGTATGCCTTGGTATCAACTGGAGAATCACAATATATGTTGCTCTGTCTTGTTGCATTGTAACTTGGGGTGTCTAATGTGGCGGCAAATGTGATTTTTTTTTCTCCTTCTAATGTTCAGTGGTTATCCAATGAATGGATTAGGATAATTAACTGTTTATCATGTATTAAGACTTTTTCTGTAACTGTCTCTTAGTTGATTTAACTAAGGAAGTTCTTTCTTATCTCCTTAATTGCTTTGAATAGATTTTAAATTAATTTTCCTTTAAAGATATAATTTTTGCATCGTTTATCAGTTTTGGATCTTGTGTTCCTTGGTGCAAGAAGTCATATTTAAAATTGTTGTGCAGAGGCAATGGGACTTGTGGGAGTCCTCATTGGTGAACATTTGTTTCTTACACATCTACTCATCTTGGAACCTTTCCGTTAGAGCATTCTTGAGCATAATCAGTGAAGATGCCTCGTATAGGAGGTGCACTTCATTTTGGCTATTCCAACCACCCATCAAGTTGAAGACTTCAGGTATTCTTTTCCACATGCAACCCTCCTGCTCAAGTCCTGTTCCTAGGTGATTTGGAATACCTTGTGGTTCTTGTAACCACTGGTTCAGGAGCACTGATATGGTACTTTCTTCTGGAGTCACTGGAGAAATATTTGTTGGACCTAGCTTTTCTGTTGTGCACAGAACACTTGAACACCTTATTTACCTTGGCACTATTCAAAGCCACAGCTTGTTGTCCTAAGACTTTGATTCTCTTCACTTCAGAGTTACTTCAGCTCCAGAGGCTATTGGCTTCAATTGCTTCAAGTTTCAGTACATCTCTGACACTTGGGAAGAAGGAAGCCATGCAGAATCTTCATGTAATGCCTATATAGCAAAACGGTATTGTGTATTTGAAGACCTATTCAACTCCTCTCCAAGACTGCCTCATCTTCCATCTTTCTCCACAGCTCGAGCTGTTTAGTGCATTTTGCACTGAGATTTTTGCCTATATCTGGGGAGTTCTCCTTAGCACAATTACTTGCCCTGACCCTAATGCCCCTAGCACCTTTTGATTTAGAAGGTCTCTGTGCAGCGCTTGGATCTCATGTGACCTGTTTACATAATGCTAGCATGACCAGAGACAACTGCTGATGAGCTTGATGCGTGCCACTGTTGCTCTGATGGTGGTATAGTCACACCAGAGGAACTGCTGGTGTGGATCACAGGAGCAGTGGCTCAACATGTGCTGCATCTTCTATTGCTGTGGTTCCCAGTAGAGCTCTTCAGCTCTGTGGGTATCTGCATTTGTATCGATGCAGGTCTTTATCAGTCTGTGGTAGACTGAGAATCCTTGCTCAGTAGATATCTTTAGTGATGGAGAAATTGTAATTTTGTTTCCTTGAAGATGCCTTTCAGGACTGTTTATGGCCTGTAGGTATCAAAGCCTTATAGCCTAACTCTCAGGAGTGAAAATCCTGCAAGGAGTCTTCAGAGAAGGAAATAATAAGGAAAGCGACTGCCAATATAATAGATGTTCACAAAGCTCTACAGTAGGCCAGAATTTTGTTCTAAAATGATAAAGGGAATATAATAGGGTTCTGTCATGGTAACTGGAATACATAGTAGACCAAGTTTATTTTCTAAAAATAAAGCACTAATGCAGTTTAATTAAATCATGCATTTTAATGCTGGTTTGAATCAGTAAGCAAGAATTGGTGTGTGTGGTGGTTTGTTTTTTTGTTTTTCTTGTATTTGTACTTTTCAGTTATTTTCTAAACAAATGTTGATTCTTGTTTGTTGGTAAATGTGGTCAAAATATGTTAATTTGCAACTAAACATATCCGCACCCTAAATCTGGTGCTGCTTTTTGTTAATCAAGATACATTGTTTGTTTATTTTTTAAGATATTATATAGGTTTGTTTACATTTGTCTTAATTTTTAATATTAGAAAATGATGAATGATACCTTTCTTAAATTGATTAATTTACTTGTAATGTAAGTCCCAAATGCATAAACAGCATTTAATTTTATTAAATAAAACTACCTTAAGTCTGAATACTCATGGTTGTTCCCACAAAATATGTTGTATGTTTAATAGTAATTGATTTAATAAAGGCAGTATTGTCTGTAGTTAATACAATTACTGATCATTTTAGTCATCATGTCCTTCAAGATTTTACAGCTACGGTATCTCACCCATTCTCATCTAATTTTCATTCATACATTGGAGGAAGAGAACAACTGTTGTGCTTTTTCAGCTCCCATTTGATTTCTTATCTTTTCCTAAACTAGTCATTAATTTGAAGTAGCTGAATAAACTGAAATAAAGAAAACTCTCTCTCTCTGCACATGCCGAAAAGGCTGATGCTATCAAATGTTGGCATAGCACATCAACAAATTTTTGTTCCCTGTGTTTAGCCGGTGACTTCCACCAGTTCAATCATTTGATTTCCTATAAAAACAACTAAACATATCTAATATGTTTGCTGTCAGAAACAATCTTGTTTTTTGTATTTAATTAAAATGATTATAATAGATTATAATTTCAGTTTTTAAAATAGGTGTTTTTTAAAAGCCCTGTATTTATTTAATTTAAATAAAACTTGATATTTTAAATTGTTGTTCCCCCTCCCCCGCCCACTTTGATTTTTGGATGTATTCTGATTGGGTGGAGCAGCAAGAAAGCAGGCACTAATATGGGGTGGATAAATGAGATATTGGAAGATGGGTTTGGTGGACCAGAAAGAGAATGTTGTGATCTGTATGAGATGATGAAGGTAGAGACATAGGTACATGCTGTTTTTCAGTTGCCTTGAATGTCAGTAGATGCTTGAATTATAGTGAATAGGGTAATCTGAAAGGGGAGACATAGTTTTGGAATAATATTAACACATTTGAACCTTGAAATACTTAGCTTTGTAAACCCACAAAACTGAATGTCAGTATCATAAAAGTGATAGAAGTGTAGCTGTGTTAGTCTGGTGTAGCTGAAACAAAAACGGGACTATGTAGCACTTAAAAGACTAACAAGATGGTTTAATAGGTGATGAGCTTTTGTGGGCCAGACCCACTTCCTCAGATCAAATAGTGGAAGAAAATTGTCACAACGATATATACCAAAGGATACAATTAAAAAAATGAACACATATGAAAAGGACAAATCACATTTCAGAACAGAAGGGGGATGGGAGGAGGAGGTAAATGTCTGTGAGCTAATGATATTAGAGGTGATAATTGGGGAAGCTATCTGTCATTCATGCTTAAATTCGACACTTTACACCTAAGCTTAAACAAAGACATCAATTATCTTACCCATTACAAAGATAATGGCCCACGAAAGCTCATCACCTAATAAACCATCTTGTTAGTCTTTTAAGTGCTACATAGTCCTGTTTTTAATATCAAAAAAGGTTATTGTAGCTGGCAACTATTTCTGTTTTCTCCACACACTACTTCCACTAGATGTGTGGCACTGTCTAATTCAGTGGCAGTACCACCAACAGTAAACACTACCAACAGTAAACACTTAAAATCAAATGCACAAAAAAGGAAGGGTGGTGGGAGAAGAGAATTGGCTAGGCAGTAGCTCTGCTGAAAAAAATTGTAAGAGTTATAGCAGATCACAACTTGAATGAGAGTCAACAATGTTATGCAGTTGCAAAAAGAGCTATTATTATTCTGGAGTATATTAATAGAAGTGTCATATGTAAGATGTGAGAAGTTACTATCCTGCTCCACTTGGCACTGGTGATTCTTTAGCTTGAGTACTTTTGTCCACATCTTTTTTTAAAGTATAATAGGACACATTGGAGAGAGTCCGAAGGAGAATAACAAAAATATGTTTTGAAAACATGACCTTATGAGCAATGATTAAAACATGTTTGTTCTGGAGAAAAGCAGGTTTAAGGGAGACCTTATATGTCTTCAAATATGGTATTCTCCATGCCCACTGAATGTAGGTAGCAAAGGAGATGTAAATTAGATATTAGGAAAACCTTTCCTGACTATAAGGATAATTAGCACTAGAATAGGTTATCAAAGGAGTTGGTGTAGTTCCCTTCATTGGCGGTTTTCAAGAACAGGTTAGACCTGTCAGAGATGGTCCAGGTACTCCCTCTGTATAGAGGGCCAGACTAGATGACTTCTCAAGTTCCCTTCCGTCCCTATATTTTTATAGGGTTTTATTTTAATGTGTGTTTAGCATTTGTGGCTCTTTCGGAATGTTTACCCTCAGTATTTTAATCTCCTCCTTAATTGAAGGCAAGTCATTTCTGGGAGAAACAGGCTCTTCTGCTGTGAGGATACCATACTATTAGTTTTTAGGTGATTTTTTTTTAAGCTAGAGAATGTTAATTTAAGATGCTTCTTCTGTGAATGGTCTTTATGATTAACACTTGGTTTGGAATTTGGCTTAGTTTTAAGCCATAGCACACATCCATGCAATAGTAATGCAATAAGTAACAGGACCAGTTTGCAAGTAACTATTAGATAAATTGAAATTATGCAGAGTAGCACTGTTTTTGTGGAAGAATGCCTTGCACCATATCCAATGACTTCTAAAAGCACTGATATCTTGACAGACTTTCAAAGCAATCTGTTATATTTTGTTTTCAATTTAAACATTTTTGTTGCATAAACATCAAAGCTAGTCTAGTCAAATGGCCTATAATCGCTGGAGTATGTCATTAACTATCCAGGCAAACAAGAGTGAAAATAGTATATTGCGCAGTAGCTGTAATTGCATACAGAATAGCAAATGTCCTTAGTAATAGGACTCTGTTTTCCTTTCAC